GGATTCAAATCAATGAAATAACAGTTCCTGTCCCATGAAGGTCCTCAGAGGCAGGTTTTGGTCAGAGGCTGAGTTCACTACAGTGTGTTTGTCATTTCATGGCTGTAAAGGAACATTGAAACCCTGTTTCTGCCTGCATTCTTCTGAATTACTGAGACACGTGGACAGCTCTGACACACGCTTCTACTTCGGGATCTCACCTGTTTGGGTCGTCGGCCACGCGCATCCACTGAGTGCAGCAGCTGAATGAACGTCCATTTGGGCGATGGGTCGCTTCATGGCAGTCCCATCTGAATCTTAACTGAACTTTTTACCTCTTTCAGGGCTGGTCAGCTCGTGATGAAATGGCTGCATGCGGCTGGCGGATGTATGGCAGGCCATGTTATCAAATAATTGGATCGTGGCTGATTCTAACCTAATTAAAAGCCCGAGACCGGCCCAGCATGGCCCTAATCCAGGTCTGTCCGGGCCGGGTTTCGGGTTCGATCTGGAAATGACAGTTCTAAGCACAAAAGAGCAACATCATCAGGCCAGGACTCAGCGGTTTACACTCAACTCCAGGCCAGAGGTCACTTGTACAGGGATGAAGATGTTCACATCCTTGATAGTGAAGAACATTGGTTTGAGAGAGGAGAGAAGTGAAGAGAAACCGTCCATCATTAAATGGGGGCGGAGACCTCCATTTCCAATTGTCGCCTTCTTACATTGCTGTTATTGCAAGTATCACTCAGCCCTCTGTGAATAGCAAATGGCCACCAGAGCAATAACAATCATTTGTTAGGCTGAAGGTCCTTATCATGTGACCAGCTAGTTTTGGATGTCAGCAGCAAACTGGTTGGTCCACAATGAAAATGGGCTATTTAGAAGATTGAGTTTAGTGCAGTTTCTCAGACTGCCGAAGTCTTTTGGATAAAAGAGGAAACATTTTAACTTTTTTTTTTTAATCTGTCCAGAAGACCTGACTTAACTTTGTTAGATTTTTCTACCTGGATTATTGAGTATGCATCAGGATATGTAGTCTTGAATGTTTTCTGTCAGAGGATGTGCAGATGTCAAAACACAAGTTTATCTCTCTAGAGTTACAGAAACTAAATTGAGAAGGTTGGACTTTATACCTGGATTATTGAGCATGGACTTTATTGTTAAATTGAGAAGGGTTTGACACTAGTATGAGACACATGTGACAACACTGCAACATTTTTTTAGATCATTTTTATCTATTTTATTGCAATTTTTTGAACATGTTCAAATGTCAATAAAACAAGACTGCAAACCTCTGCAGCTCATTTGAGAAAAATGAGAACCCCCACAAATAATCTGACATTTTGGAGACTTTCTTGGTGAAGCCATTCACAAACTAGTCTTCAACAGTTGCAGCCATGTCAGATAGTACCTTAAGCAACACAATAACCATCTAAATTCCTGTGTTCCAAGTTAATCATGTTAATGAGTTTTCATTGTTGTGCAAGACAATGAAGGCCTCATTTTTTATAACAATTCCTCTCAAGCATCTGATAAGAAACTGTACACTTTGTTTTGTTTTAACTCACTGACAGTGACACACACACACACACACACGCACGCACGCACGCATGCACGCACACACACACACACACACACACAAAACCATCAGGAGGTGGAACAGGTATAATAATAAGTGCAATGTGTTGTCATCATTGTATGTTCCTATACAATGGCAAATTTAGTTCTCTGAATTTGGTCCATCACAACTGGGATACACCCAGGTGGAGCAGTGGGCAGCTATGTAGGTGCCCAGGGAGCAACTGGGGATTGGGTATCTTGCTCAGAGGGGTCCCAAGTCGGCTGCCCCACCTCTACCCCCTCTTGGCCCCCATATGTGTGTGTTACAGAGCAATGGCCAGTAGATCGGCCCAGAGCAACCACACAAGAGCTCTGAGGCTTGTAGAAAAAGCTAATCAGCTTTTGGCAGATGGGCTAATGTCCTTACAGAAAGGAGGGGGCTATATTTAGTGCCACTCTCTCCCTCTTAACAGGGGATAACTCTGGTCCTGCTCATCGCTCTGTGGCTCATGTTTCTTTGAAGCCATCCTGAAGCACACAAAGGCCAAAGTGGAGGAAAATGAAAACCAGAGATAATTTGGTCTAAAGCATCCTGAAGACTCCCTGAACTCTCTACAAATTAATTTTTTTTACACATAATAGTTTAGGTTAGGGTGACACAGTGGCACTGTCGGTAGAGCTGCCACCTCTCAGTGAGAAGGTCACGGGATCAAATCCCAGCCGGGGACCCATTCTGGGTGGAGTTTGCATGTTCTCCCAGTGTACGTGTGGGTTTTCTCCGGGCACTCCAGTTTCCTCCCACAGACCAAAAACATACATGTTCGGCTGCTTGGTAACTCTAAATTGTCCCTAGGTGTGAGTAAAAGTGTGAATTGTTGTTTGTCTTTATGTGTCCCTGTGATGGACTTGGGACCTGTCCAGGGTGTCCTGCACCTCTTACACAGTGACTGCTGGATATGGGCACCAGTGACCCCCGTGACCTGAAAAGGACGACGTGAAGATGAAGATGGATAGTTTAGGTTAAATGTAAAAACTAAAGAGGGATTAATAATGTGCATTGAACAGAAACACAGACAGACATATTAGGGGGAAATATATGAATGAGTAGCAGAGGAAAGAGACTAAGGAAGTGACATCTGGAGGCCAAGGCTTGCAAGCATTAAATGATGCAGACCTGGAGCCAATCCACTCAACAAGTTGCCACGTGACCCTGGAGAGCACAGCTCTGATGGTAGTACAGTCATCGCACATACCGGCTGTTTTAGATTTACTCAAAGCTAATGAGGTTGGCATCAAAACTACAGTCCGTGACGTCTTGTGGAGGGAAAATCCTTCACGATCAGCTGTCACTCGCTGGCAGTGAAAGTCGTGCACAGCGGGATTTTGCAGGGGGCACCTTCGAGCGTTGACCCAATGTAGACTTTTCTGCTGGACATCAGAACAAGGCTAGCAAAAAGTTCAACAGGTGAAAATGACTTTCAAACAATGTGGAAGCTGTTATGTGGCTACAAGAAACACTTAGGGGGAAACAACATTTAGATTTTTTTTTTCTTTTTAATGAAGTCAGTCATTTTGACACAACAATCATCAGATCTTTTTTTTTTTTTCAAATGAGCTGCTGAAACGACTGCGAATCAGTCCTCATGAACCAGCTCAGAGCACACCCACCCTCACGCATGCTCACAGTGGGCATGTTCAAACTACTTAAACCACGTGCTGCTCTTCAACAGCCAAAATAAAACACGGACTCACGCAGAAAATAACCCCACACAACTTTGAATCTGCCTGCTACATCAGTCCAACACAGGCTGTACAAAATAGTAACTGAAAAGAATGAGAAAAATAGGAGCTCTGACATGTTGCTGAGCACATCTAAAGGTGTATTTTCTCACCAAAATCTACCCAGAACTGATGTGAGTGGGTTCATTATTGTGCACGCTGCATTTTAGCACAAAGTTATTACTGATAAATGACTCAGTGGCTGTTAGATGAAGAAGAGTATTAGTATCAGGGAAAGCGTTTCTGACTTATATCAGTTTAAGTGTTCCTCAGGGCTGTTCTGCTTCAAGCATCCCTTCATCACTTGCTCCTCTACATCCCTCTGTCAGCCTGAAACCTGCCGCCATGTCTGGAACACGTGCACATTCGTCTTCAAATACTAGATGGTCAACATATGTAAACTAAAATGATTACATCATTTCCACAACATTCCAGTGACTTTTTTTTTTTTAATTGAAATGGATTGGTCTTGTTAGTTTAACATATTATTTAATATGTTTTCAAATTTATAACGCAGCTTTTAGAGCTTTTGAAGATTTTAAAACCCGATTAACGGTTGCAGTTTATTTGACAGGTTACGACTAATTAAAAAAAAAACTCTAGCTGTAAACACGTTTTTGTCATTCATTATTATTTTTTTCAGTTCAAAGAAAAATAAAACACAAGATTCGTTTTAAGTCATCTCATGGTACATTTCAGAAATGTTTTTGCAATTTCATTTTGAGTCTGCAGAAACACATAGAGGTACACTGATGAAACTGTTTTGACAACACCCCCTCCCAAAGAAGATGAAATCATGTTTTCACTTCCTCTTTAGTAATCACGTCCTTGCACAGCAGAACTGCTGATAAGAACAGTCCTCGACTAAACACTGTTAAAACCAGCTGGTCCAATACGTCCCTCAGTGTAAAAGACCTTACTCAACATCTGGGAATTTAGGTAAAAACATTCAATAGTAAGTCATTAAAAGACAACGATATTCTTCTAAAATAAAGAATTTCAAAAATAGATTTTTTTGTTTATCGAGGCACTTAAACTTATTCCTGTACAGAAATAAAGCATGCATTGTTCAGTTGATTCATTTGTATTCAAAACTCAACAACAACAACAACAACAAAAAACCTTGAGAACAAAAGCAGATCTTTGGAGTTGTAAACAGTACCCTGTTCCTCTTTTTGCATTGCCTGTGAAACGACTCACACACATACAGTCAAGCACACACACACACACACACACACACAACAGCAAAAGTCCTGTGAATGCATGCGTTCGGCACATTATGAGGGTCCTCTGCTATTCTTCATAGCTGAATGCAAATGTTTGTTTAGGTTTAAAAAAGAGGTGCATTTTGCACGAGTTCGGTAGATTTAAAAATACGTTCTCCTGAGTCATAACTTACAAAGCATGAGGACATGACCTTTTCTGCAACACTCATGGCTTTGTGGCTCATCTGTGGGTTGAGCTGACAAACCCACAAACTATTGTCAAACTTTTCTCAGCTGCTCCTCTTTCTGTGAAGTCTGCTTCTCCTGCAGCCAGAACCAGAGCTCAGGCCCACCGCCTCCATCCAGGCACCTTCCTACATTTTATACTTCCTGTCTGATCTCTTGCCCTTGCTTTTTCCTCCCGTCTTCATCTCAAAGATGAAACAGAAAGATCGACATCCGCTTGTCATCCAGACATGAGTTCCACTGTTTACGCAAAATAAAATGGGTTTACGCCAAGTTCAGTTACAGGGCAGCCAGGTAGCGTACATGGGATGTTGCAGAGGAGGAAGGTACTGCTGAGAAGGTGAAGGTGGGCAAGTGTAGATGGGCTGAACCTGCGCTATGTAATAGTTGCTGAAGTTGCCATCTGAGATGTATGGGGCTGGCTGGTAGAAGCAGGTGACATTGGCAGCATTGAAGATGGTGTTCTGCTCGGCCAGGACCCTAAGCGCCAGCGACGAGATGAGGCTGAGCGTCTGGCGCCTCTCGTGTCCCATCAGGCACACGGTGCTCTCCTGCACCACGTCGTACAGCGTGGCCAGGTAGTCATACTTCCTGTCCTCCAAGTTCTCAAAGTGGTTCTGCAGATAAGACTCCAGCTTGCGGCGCTGCTCACTCACGTCGGGAAAATCTATGAAGAAGCGCGAGCACATGTAGCGCTGCAGCAGCTTCATCTCCCTGTCCGACGCCGCCTGGAAACCCCGAACCAACAGGTGGCAGTACTTCAGCAGGCCCCCGCCTCGGATCTCCTCGGGGCTCCGGGTGCAGATGAGGCGCTTGCGCAGGTGGTCGAGGGCGGTGGGGAAGTCGCCGTAGACGCTCTCCCCAAGGATGGTAGGGTGGAACGTTGAAGCCATGGGGTGCTCCGAGCACTCGTAGAAGAGGAGGAGGGAGTCCAGACGGATCTGGAAAGAGTCCACGCTGAACTCGAACTGCCGGCGAAGAGAGTCCACAAACTTGAGCTCTACGTTCTTGCCACGATTGTTGGAGAGCGAGATGAGACTCCAGCGATCCGAATCGTTGCACACCTTCACCATCTTCTGCACATATGCTTCCTGGAAATAAGAGATTGGGAAGATTTAGCTGTTGACAGTTTCAGAATATTAATTTGTGTTTGTTATGGAGTTATTTTATTTATTTATTTATTAACCTTTATTAAACCAGGCAAATCCCATTGAGATCACAGATCACTTTTGCAAGGGAGGCCTGAAGGCAGCCTAACATACATGTTTTTGATCTGTGGGAGGAAACTGGAGTACCTGGAGAAAACCAACGCAAGCACGAGAAGAACATGCAAACTCCACACAGAAAGATCCCAGGTCCAACCAGGGATTGAACCCACAACCTTCTTGCTGTGAGGCAACAGTGCTAACCACTGATCATTGTGCTGCCGAGTTCAAGCAGGTCATGAAATCTTCTGGGCTAATTGCATAATTATTATTTTTTTGCTTCTCCCTTCTTTAACAAACAGCAAACTGTCGCATGAAGACATGATTGTTTTAATGCCGGATGCCCTTCCAGACTTAACCAAGCTATTAATCTAGCTGTTCTTTCGCTATTTTTCCTTTTAATTATCCTTTTTATTTTCATTTGTTAAAAAAAATAAAATTGTACGCATCCTTTATGACTGTCTGTTGTTGTCGTTGCTGTCCACTGTCATCATCACTCTTTGTTAAAATTCAGGTCTCTTGTAAATGAGTCCCTGAGGCTCAATGGGACTAAATGTATAAATAAAGGCTGAATGAAAAAATAAAAAATAAAACACACAGACCACCGAGCAATCACAGCCCTCTGTGTGGAGCAGAGAGCTGCCATCTAGGGATTGCGGGGGTGCAGATGGTGGAGATTAAGGGCCTTGCTCAAGGGCCCAGAGTCAGGCAAATGTGGGTGGAGGCAGGTGTGGATGTTTAACATCTTCCACCCACATTTTGATGTTCTCAAAATTGGGAGTTGAACCGGTGACCTTCCGATCACAAGCCCACCTTCTCTAACCTCTGCACCACCACTCCCACAGGTTAATAGCATAATGTAAGAAAAGAAAAACAAGTCTGGGAGAAAAAATGAAGCAATAATTACCTCCTTAACAATGCTGTATATTAGTAAAATCACTAAGATTTTTACCAGTTAAACATAAATGAAGAAAATGTTTGTTATATGTTTATAATTTTAGTGCTAGCAAAAGTGATGCAGCTCGATATTTTATTTGAGTTTTTAGAAATCTACTACCGTTCGTCCTCCTCTCTTGTTCTCCCTGTCACATTTTCTTTCTGTAAAAAAAGACACTCGAGTTTCTCACATTCAAAATGTTTCTGATTAAATTTAAGACTGACTGTGAGTCTTAGTACAAACTGGAATAAAAAAATAAAATGCAAAATAACCCAGACCTGGTTTAAATAAACCTCAGTGACTAATTCTACTTGTGCAGATAAAACTCTTAGTCATTCCTAATGTTTTGCAGGTCACATCTGTCAGTGGACCATTATGTGTAGTCACCTGTTAACTGAGGGCTGAATGATTATTAGATTAGACAGAATCTTTTTTGTAAATGCACATTATTTTTTACTCTTTGCAGGCTTGCAACTCTATTCTTGGGAAGAATTAATCCTAATTTTTAAGGCTTGTTTCAATCCACTTCAGGAGTATTCTGATAGGATATTTAGCACATTTGCAACTGGGCTTAAAAGCCTGACCAGTGTTACCTTTAGGGTCAGAGGGGTGATCTTCTCTTTATTCACTCGCTCAGGCAGGAAGTCTAAAAGAGAGTCCAGCACCAGCTCCTTCACAGTCTGAAACTCCAGCTCTCCCTTCAGCTCGGCGCAGAAAATCAAGTCCAGATCTTTCCACCCCAGACCACTGTCCTCGTGCAGGACGTAGCTGGCCGCGGATCCGTTCAGTCGCACCTCCCGGACGTGAATCCGCTTTTCCTCCATGCGGCTTCGCACCACCTTGACAATATCCCGGGGCTTTACCTCCAGGGTGGGGAAGCTCCAGCGGCCGTGGATGGGGATGGAGCCGGTGAGGATGGCGTCCAGCCGCTGCACTTGCTCCCAGTTGAGCACGCTGAGACTGACGCTCTCCCCGCAGCTGTCGCCCGCTGCGCACTCACCGCTCGCGTCCATCGTGGTGCTGACCAGACTGCTGGGTGAAAAAGGTCACGCTTTCCACCAGTTCTGGCAGAAGCATCAGAAAGTTTCAGATTCAAGTGGGTCTGAACATCATTGCAAAAATGCTGGAAACGTCCCGACGCGTGACGGTAAGAAGTTGCTGCGTTTGCCACACCAAGTCTGGACAGCAGACAAACTCATGTCAACGCGTTCAACTCCGAAGTGTAAATACTGAAAACAGTTTCTCATTCCTCTGCAACCTTTCTTGTATCTCTCAGAGGTTCACTGACGCATCCATCTCACCAGAAGAAAACCAGCGCAAAAGTTCCGTGGCTCACTTTTACGCACACCTTTACGCATGGTCTGAAGACTTTTCCCACATGAGTGCGCACCTACTTTCTCGAAGCGGTGAACGGCTGCTTTAGACCTCACATTTTGGCCGTTTTTGTCGCTTGCTGGTAGTATGTGCTGCCTGACAGTTCCCGCTGCACAGCTGCTGGAGGAGGCTGAACCGTGTGAGTTCCTCCGGTCAGTGGAGCGCCGAGGCGGGTCGTTTTGATTGACAGGTCATGCTCGCCATCAGCTTCCCATGATTTGGAGGCAAGCTTAAAGAGTGAGGCGGGTCTAAGGCAGAGAGAATGAGTCATACTGGACTGAACTTGTCCACTTTACAGTAAATGCACTTTATTAATGTTTTCCAAATAAGTTATTGAGTCTGTAAAAACTTTATTACGCACCAACAAGCATTAAAAAATAATTTAGGCTATAAAATAATTTTAAAACACTGATGCAGACTTAATGATTGGCAAAATCAGTGGCTGTTTATTCATTTAGGGAAATTTTTATTTTATTTATTTATGTAATTTTTTTTGTTTAGTTGCTCAGCTTACTCATACAGTATTTTATTTGATTTCCCAAACAGACTTTGTATCTGATTACACTGCTTACATGTGGAAAACTTACAAATGTTTGATATTATGTGATGAAAAGTAAAGTCAACAGTGACAATAGAAATGCTGGATTTTGTTTTGTCCTTTTTACCCTATAAATGCCTAATAATGGTTTATTAAACACTTTTCTTAACAGTTTTTATTAGTAATTTGTAACACCCTTGTTGTACAGTGGCACCTGAACGTTTGTCTCTACTGGTTGTGTTTTATGATTATAAATTCCAGTTCACATGGGTTTACTTTCAGTTCTGCTCTGTTCACTTCAACCCTGCACGAGGAACAAACTATTCAAAGCTTTGTGCCTCTCATTAACTCCACATTTTGTTTAGTATTTTCCAGTCTTGTTTTGCTGACAAACAAATGCAACTCACCAATGTAAAAAAACCAACAATAAAATAGCTTCTATTTTATATTTAAACCCATCCTGATCATTTGCAGGAAAAGCTGAGCGTGCACATGCACATTCATCCCTCTAGGGGTGAATTTTCTCACCCATCATGATTTGAAGGAATTCCTGTGCAGCCACTAAGATCAGACTTCCAAAGATTTACTCGTGCACGCCTCTGCAAAACCTTGAGGTGCAACGTGCACAAACACAAGCAGTGCAATATTTCTGTTGTAGTAATAATTTCAAGAGAAGCATCTGACAATGAAGACATAAGCTGTCTCTATGTAGGGTATGGGTCAACGCCTATGCCGATTAGTTGTCATGCAGAGTCTTTCTCAGTGCAGAGCTTGATGAGTATATCTGCGTCACTGCAGACGAGCCCATTAACCAGATTATTGCAGATTACCCTCTAAGTGCAGTGACACACAGTTCACACAGACTCACGCACGCGTACGTTTCCAGTTTTAAGGGCTTTTATCTGAATGATTCAAGATGCTCTGCCTGAACTAAAATCAGTAAACTCTGGAAATGTTCTTTTTTTGAAAACAAAAACTGTAAACAGCTGTTATGTTTCTCTGTCTTTTTATATGTGATTATTTCAGCTATACTCAAATGCTTAATCCACATCATTCCACAATGCATCTGGGTGCATTTAGGTGAAATTAACTGTAAGTAATTTCAGTACGAATGCATTTCATTTGTTCATTGAAATGTACAGCTGCTGCTTTCACTTCTTGCTAATATTCTTAATTGAGGGAGTTGTAATAAACAGAAATCCTATCAGATGATCCACTTCTGTTCAATACAAGCTCTAAACATTGTTTCAGATTTGCTTTGCTTCGTTGATTTCTAGCTGCAGACAGTGTCTCTGCAGGTCGACACAGTTGCAGCAGGTCAGTCGCACTCTTTCCATTCACCCACTGGATCGGAGTCAGGCTTACTGCCTGGGATACTTACCTTGAAGCAGCTTCTTACCCGACCTTTGACTCACCAAGTGGATGACACCGGCTTGGTTCCTGATGTCTGACGACATCAGAGGATTGGCGGGGATTTCAGGAAGTTACCCCTTGTCAGGCTGCCAGACCAGCCACTACATGTCTGTATGTCATTATCTATAAAGGTCAACACAGCTGATATTTCTGCATTTATGCTTCATTTTCTTCTGATGTCTGCAAAGATGTTCAGTCCTCTTTTAGCCTCTTGCTCTTTCTAATAACACCACCATCAAGGAGATCAATAATTGTGTTAAAAAAAAACAGACCAAGACTCGGTCACTGCTTGATTTAGTCTTGTATTTTCAGAATATGACTCTACATATTTGGCATCCGGCTATTTGTCTCTTCTTCTGTTGTTTCCGACTTATCTGCTATTTGCTCATCCTCTTTCCGATCCCTCTTTTTACTATTACTACACGTGGAAGTTCATTAAGAGATTATAGACTAATGTGCTTCAAGTATTCCCACCCCCAACAGCCCCTTCCATTCTCATTTCACTTCCCTAACACCTTCTACTTTGGTCTGGATTTCAATTAGTGTGCTCTACGTGAGGACTCACGCTCTCTTGTCTTCGATCTAATAAGTAGCTCACCTTGTTGTTGCACAATTGAATGTAAAACATGATTATATAGTTGATGATGTAACTATCAGGTCTGATTGTATTCATATCACCAACTGCTCTTGATGCCAGTGTTAAATAAAACCTTGGTTATTTCTTGTAAATGTTGCAGTGTGTTCTGCCGCGTGAGCTTGTGAAATTTTGTGATCTTTGTTAAAGCTCAGCGTACATGTTGTTAACATCATGATTTATTATAATGCTGAGGATTGCTCACAGCTAACAGATCAAACAAGTGGTAGTAGGAGTCGATGTCTCCCGTTGCTGAGGGATTTGAATAGTGAATGTTTGTAGTTTTAGAGATGAGTATTTTTCTGGACTGGAATTGAACAGGGGATGTAAGTAAACCTTAGTATTTTTGGTGCAAGATATTCCAGTGGGTAGGAGTGACACTATGTATAAAAGCAGAGATAGTGTTTTTTTGTTCGTATGAGGCAGCACAGAGTGACGAATCCTGGCGAGTAGATGGATGAATTTTATCCACCAGCAGGTACAGTGGTGGCAACAGGGGGTGGCCAATGGTGGCCATCAATCTGTTGAATAAACTATACTTTTAAGCAATATAAAAACTAAAGTATAGTTGCCTCAAATGATGTGGGTGGCCGGTTTGCAAAAACAGTAAATCACACAATTAATGATCCTGGAAAGTGCAGGGTTAATAACTTAATAGGCTAGGCTATTACATAGCTCAGGCCGGTGGACAGCAGACACCCATGAGGAGCCGGTCCAACAGAAAGCCGGTGCAATACCACACAGCAATCCTGATCGGAACCAAGCAGAACCACATAGATCCGGATGAAATGTTTGGTTGGAGTCCAGAGGAAAAAACGCTGGACCTTCGGGCAATGACTCCCCAGCTTGAGAGGCCACCTGGCCGGCCGTCTGCACTCGGAGCAACGGATGGGGTGGAAGTGGGTGGTCTTGGGCCAAAAAAATTTTTTTTGGACAGTCCCGTTTGGCTCTCTGAGTCCACTGAACACTGAATTCGGTTGGAAGAGGGACCAATTTTTAGTCCGGTTCAAAACCGGGTCAGTTTGATGTTACAGGACTGCAGAGAAGCGGGGGAGCTGCCGTCCTTCAGCTTGCAGGAAGTGGTTTATGATTTGCGCACAAGTGTGGGTGATTGGTTAAATACAGGTTAAATAAAGGTTAATAATAAATAATGGTTTGTTTTAGCTTCTTTTAACTAGTGTTTTGCTTCTTTGGACTTTTAGCTAACATTTAGCTACTTTTGACATTTAGATTTTCTACTTTAGCTTCTAACTAGTCTTTTCCTACACTTAGATTTTAGCTAGTATTTGCCTACTTTTGTCTTTCAGTTAATATGATGTCCTTTTACCATTTAGCAACAATTTAGCTGCTTTAGCTTTTAGTTATCCTTTTACTACTTTTGGCTTTTAGCAAGCATTTCAAGGTTTTCAAGGCATAGTGCTCTCAGCAGTCACACTAGTTCCACTATTTTTATTTTAAGTGATTTATTTATTTTTGACTCTGCAGTAGCTTAATGGTGTAGTGTGTGCCATTTGCATCTGGCGTATTTTCACTATCTAACTGTATTCAGGCAAAATATCCAGACAAAGACAGACCTCGGTAGTATTTCCAAGCAGTTTCAACCCTATCTTTAGTAAGTGACCCTTGTTAACCTTGACTAACCTTGAGCTGTACCTATGTAAGGTAAGCCCCCAACTAAACTCTTCCACAGCCGCTAATAAGATTCACCAATATGCTTTGTGCTGTAAGCCATGCAGCCCTGCTCCTAGAAAGTTTACATTCATGTATGTATGTTAATGATAAGTATATTAGAAAGTTGTTAAAACGTTTTATGAATGACATAGACCAGCAAAATAAATATTAAAATGTTTAAACATATTTTTTAGCCTTAAAGGACAGAACTTGTGCATGAGGTTGTATCTAAATTTATCACTGTCCAACACGTAAGACGACATCCTGACCACAGACGAGGAAGCAGTTTGCAGAGAGGTATTGCTCAACGAAGACAAGCATATGTGTGTGTGAATGCACAGAACAGTATCACAAAGAATCTGTTAGTCTGTTAATACTTGTACAAATGAAAGGGCAAGTATTCCTTGAAGGATTTCACATCGTCCACCGCCTTTCATGCCAGACTTCAAACGGACACCTTGTGATGAGAAATAATGCAGTTGAAGCCATTTTGTTAAAGCACCAAAAAAA